GTTAACCTGGAGTTTCTGGACCATCTCCCAATATGGGTGGGCACTGGACCAGCCCAAACTAGGATATTCCCACCTTGGGCTCTCAAACGTCTCACATGTACCAGGACACAGCTTACGTGTGCCATGTATTGCCAAGGATGCCCACCCAAGGTGTCACCAAGGGCAGGGAGAGTAGACCCTCCAGGCCATGATTACAACAAGAACCATCCTCACCTCAGCTCGCACACACACACATCACCTTCCCACCTGCAGGGCCATTGGCTGAGCTGACGCTGTGGAACGCTCTCTCTGCGTTAAGAAATTTCACATGCTTGCTCACATTCTGTGCTTTGCTGGTAAATGTTCAACAACCAGCTCTCTGGGGAGAAATGTACCCATAAATATATGTATATAAGTTTACTAAAAATAAATATTTGATTACTATCCAACTCAGCAAAAGGAATAATAGCTCGTTGTTGAAGAGTGAGCATAGCTCTCACATGAAGGTTGGTTGATATTTCCATTTCTATTAATAATGAGTATGGAAAAGTGAAATAATGAAGGTGTTTACTAGAACCTCATTTTTTTTTGCTGAATTAGATAACAGTGTTTGAATACTGGAAGATTATTTCCTTTCTTTTTTATTTTTGTGCTATTCACAATGTAATGGCTAGAGACACAACTCACTTTCAGGTTTAATCGACATTATTAACATTTTCTCCATCACTCTCTTAAATCTAGACAATCAACAAAACAACAAAGCAAGCCCTGACTAATAGCGCTTGCCAATTTCCATGGTGTAAATGCCTCCATCATGGCTGGTTTCAAGCTACCCACATGACCTCACTGAATGTGAAGTTGAGAAGACATACACAGCTGCCACCATGCACAGTATTTCCTCCCCGCAGACCCAAGACACATCAATGACCTTAAGAGCATAGATAATAGTAAAATGTAGCTAAATAACTTGGAATAATGAGCTCTGAGTATTTATTAGCTTTGTTTTTCATATAACTTATTTCATCGTAACTTTATAGAATTGAGTTGTTAATGATGGCTGTTTAACTAGCTCACAAAATTCCTGAACATTGACACTCAGCTATCATGAGCGGAATGTGCAAGCTGGCTCCCGTATCCCAGTGAGCTCACATCTCATTCTTCTACACCTCTGTAGGATAGGTTTTACAATCCCTGTCTTATACATCAGGAAGCTGAGGCTCAGAAGCCACAGGGCCAGGGCGTGCGCTGATGCTAAGGTGATTTTAGACCTGCACCAGTCGCTTGAGCTGGGCTGAGAGGAGCAAGGACTGGACTACAAGTGTGTTTGGGGGCTTATTGTTGTGTCAGGAACCTGAACACACTTCTCTCATAGTGTTATGGCCTCCAGACATCAAGCCCCAGCATGTAGAATCCACCAGAGCACAGTTACAAGAGGCTTTCAAAACAAGATAATGTCGTGGTAGAACGCCCTGGACCAGAACACCACCAAAACACAATAGAGTAACGATCCAGCCATCTGTTTCTCAAGGAAGGGCCAAGTCTCCATAACCCAAATGCTAAAACTCTCCAGCCAAAAATAGCTCAAAAGGTGTGGGCCAGTACTCAGGGTTCCTCAGACTCGGGACTACTGGCGTTTGGGGTGGGATAACTCTGTGCTGTATTGGAAGGGAAGCAGTCCTGTGCACTGCAGGACGTTTACCAGCATCCCTGGCCTCTACCCACTAGGTGCCAGCAGCAATGCTTCCTACCCCCAGTCACAACAACCAAAAGTGTCTCCAGACATCGCCAAATGTCCTGGGAGGTGGGGGGCACAAATCACCCCATGTTGGGGACCATCGGGCTTGGGAAAGGAGGGGCAGCAAGAAGCCCAGCTGCGAGTGGACATATTGAGGGCGCACACTGACGAATGGGCTACGTGTGCCCTCAGCCCCCGAGTTGTCCCTGGATGCTGGCTGAGCAATGAGAAGGCTTGGCAAGTGTGGGAGGACCCAGGGAACTCTTAGAAAACACAGCTCCCAGCAAAACACACTCCGACCGATTCACCAGCCTTGAGACTCAAAGTCTAGGCTTTCCAGAACGACAGCCACAGGGATTTATGCGAAGGCAAGACCCGGAGCTTTAGGCCTCTTTCAGGTTGGCATCCATCCATTCCCTCCTTGACTGTGTCACCAATTATTTTAACAGCTATGGAATCTGCCATGTGCCTGCCACTGCCAGGTGCTGGGGATAGGGGTGGAGATCCCGCCCTCTGTCTCCATGTCTCTCTCTCCTGCTAGAACAAAAGCTCCGAGAGGGTAAGAATGTTGGGTTTTGCCCAGCCCACAGTAGGTGCTCAATGTACACCAGTCCCACACAATGGGACACAGGCGTTTTCAGCTTGGCTAGGGGTAGGGGGACAGATGCATGAACAGATAGTTACATGGGGACCAGGAAAACTTCGTGGACACCTGAGCTGAATGCCAAAGGACTGGCAGGAGCTGGACAGCTAAGAGTGCCAGGCAAAAGGCACCGCCTGCGGGAAGACACGACGCTAGAAAGACAGCGTTGCTGGCTGAGTGTATCAGTTTCCCATTGCTTCTGTAACAAATTACCACAGATCGTGGCTTCAAACAATACCGTTTTATTCTATTTCTGGAGGTCAGAAGTATAAAATCAGTCTCACAGGGTGTTTTGGACAGAATTATGTCCCCCACAAATTCATATGTTGAAGCCCTAACCTCCATTGTGACTGTATTTGGAGAAAGGGCTTTTAAGGAGGTAATTAGAGTTAAATGAGGTCAAAAGGATGGAACCCTGATCCAATAGGACTAGTGTCCTTATAAGAAGAGGAAGAGACAGCAGGGGGACTGCCCCCCAACACACACACACACACACACACACACACACACACACACACACACACCTGCACAGAGAAAATGTCCTGTGAGGACACAGTGACGAGGTGGCCATCTACAAGGCCAGAAGAGAGACCTCAACAAAAACTGAATTTTCTGGCACCTTGATCTTGGACTTCTAGTCTCCAGAGCTGTGAGAAATAAATTTCTGCTTTTCAAGCCCCTGGTCTGCGGTCTTTGGTTATGGTGGGCCAAGGAGACTGATATTCTGGGCTAAAATCAAGGCGTCAGGGGAGGCTCTAGAGGGGAGTCCATGGCCTTGGCTTTGCCAGCTCCGGGCCCACCTGCGTCCCTTTCCTCTGGCCTCTCCTCAGTTCCCTCCAGCCTCTGAACCCACTGTCACATTTCTACCTCTGACTCTGGCCTTCCTGCTTACCTCTTACAAGGATCCTTGAGATTACATGGGGCCCACCTGGGTAATCCAAGATAATCTCCCATCTCAAAGTCCTTAACTCTCATCACATCCACAAAATCCCTTTTGCCATGTAAGGTCACAGAGTCACAGGTTCTGGGGACATGGGCATCTTCAGAGGGCCATTACTCTGTCTACCCCGCTGAGTTCAGCCAAAGAGAATCTTGTGTGTATGAGTGTGGGTGTCTGTTGGGGCTTGGGGGGCCATGAGGATGCAGAAAGAATTTAGGGTCAAGACTTTGTGTACCAGTCCTAGTTTTAAAAAAAATCAACTTGAACTGGTTCCTCCTGATGACACCCAACCCATTTCCAGCAGGGTAGAGCAGCAGCAATAACCCCTGTGGGTTTGTCTCTTACTTAGTAGAGGCACAAACCCAACTCATATTAATTGAGGGGGGGAAGCTATTCATTTTTATCTGAAAGCCACAAATGAGCCACCTTCAGCTTCAGGTACATCAAGATTCAGGAGTTCAAATGGCGTCATTAGGTATCCACCTTTTTCCACATCCCTGAGATAAAATCTCTATGTGCAGAGAATGAGAGCCATTTGAAACTCAAAGCTTCCAGAACTTCCAGCTCAGCAGCCCCCTAGGAAAGAGAGCTGCTGCCCAACAACTCTGGCCAAAAAAAAAAAAAAGGTACCTGGAAGGGTTCTTTCTGATTGGCTAGCTGGCGTTATGTGCTTATTCCTAAGCCAACTGCAACAGCCAGAGGTGTGGGTGAGTACACCGACTGGCAGGCTCTGAGACGTGGGCCCACCCCTGAGGAGAGGGCGATGGGGTCTTGGAAATGCTGTGCACAGTCTCTCACTGGATAGAGGGATGCTGCTACTAGGAGAGGGAAGGGGTGCTGGGCCTACAGAAACAGCAGGGCCCCCTGAGAGGGGTGGCCTGGTTGAGGCCCCTCCCAGCTTTAGCTCCACAGTTATCCTTCCAGGGCATCCTTGAGTGGGCCTTTCTGTCCCTGAAATTGGAACAGTCCAACCACAGCATGGAGGGTGGTTCAGGCCTCCTCATCCCCTCGCCAGGCCAGTGTCTTCTCCTGGGCAAGCAGCCATCTTGTGGGTTTGGCCATCAATTCTGGGACACCGTGGTGTCTGAAGCCCCCTCACACCATTTATCATTTACTATTATTTAACAATGATGTTAAAAGTACAATCTCGGTGTAAAATAAATGTCTAATGGATTAATGGAGCTGTTGCTAAGAAGCCACTTAAATCCCAACACACGAGGCCTAGACCCAAGGCCAGGTCCCAGAGCATTATTGCCCCTGGGGCAGGGCAGTGGGCCCAAGATGTGAGAGATGGCAATTCCAAGTCTGGGCCGGCGGGTGAGCGGCCAGCTGACAGGGATGTCCTCAGAAAACAAAGCACATATTCTGCACCCAGTGGGTGCTTAGCAGATGCTTTTTGATGGATTTAGGTTGCTAGGGAATGGAACCAAAATAATTCTCATCATCGAAAAAGAAAATGTGACCATATCCTGTGCCACATCCCCTTGGGGCTTCGGGAAGAGCATCTATTCTACAAAAAAAAAATACTCTGAAGTGCCTCCCGTGTGCCTGGTACTGTGTCGGGCACTGGAGGGCAGTGTAGACGGCAGTTCCTGGGTGCCCTGTCCTGCCCTCCCCCTCCTGCCCTGGTCCCCAGCCCAGCCTCCCAACTCTGTCCTCACCCTGACCCAGCAAGCAGGGTTTGGCCAGCCTGACCTGTTTTGCCTTCTAAGTGGAAACAGGCTGCTGCAGAGGAAAGTCGACTCCGGGCAGAACCCGGTGACTCTTGATTCATGTTCACCTCTGACCAAGACAGAAACACAGCTGTGGTTATCAGAAAGCTGCTGGTAAGGGGGAGGGGAGGGGCCTGGGGAGGGATGCTGAGGGAATGACTAGAGAAGTTCTGAATCACAGATCTTATTCATGGGGGCAGATGTGGCCACAGGACGGGATGAGGTGGGGGTGGGGCGAGGGCAGGCTGTGCACCAGCAGGGCTTCCTCGCCCCCCACTTCCCAGAATGCATGGCTTTTTCTAGGAAGAGTGAAGGCAGTGCTATCCCCTAGATCAAGGGTGTGGAGCCGGTCCCAGGCCTGGGAGGGGTGAACTGGCCCAGTCTGTGGGGGTAAATGAGTCAACAGCCCTGTGGGGCCACCTGAATCCTGCCAGCAGATTTCCAGGGGACCAGGGCGGCGGCCTTGGCAGAGCCGTGAGACAAATGTTCCCACCTGGGCAGGGCGAGGCAAGGCAGGACCCAGCAGGCCCTGGCCCCACTGAATCTGCTGTTGATTGGCCAACCCATGGCACCGAGATGGAAACCCCCCACCTGTGGCCAACAGCCACCAAAACCACTTGAAAAAAGTAAGCCTCCCGCTGGTTGGAGGCTTCAGACTTTGGGGAAGTCAGGATTAATTAGCAAATTGGTTGTGTAGAGGTCCCCAGAAAAGGGTAGAGGAGGGCCTGGAGCGTAGGGCTGGGGACAGCCCATCAGCAAGCTGTCCAAGGGGCAGGTCCCAGGTTGAGGGTGGTGGGCTCCTGCTGGCCCAAGTTCAAGTAAGCAGCAGCTCTCACCCCAGGAGCCTGGGCCAGCAGCCTACCTCTTCCCACAGCCACAGGAAGCTTCCAGGGAACTGGGACCTCCGAGCCCAGAGAGAATGCCTCCAAAATTCCTTGGGCTTTTTTCTTCCCTAGTCAACCGAGTGTCTATTTATAGATGTGGAAATATGCGTGGAGAAAGGACTGGAAGGGAATACATGAAATGTTAACATGTTTTTCTTCTTTTCCTTATTGGTCGTCTTACAAGAAAATAAATATGACTGTCAAGATAAGGAGAAAGATATGTTTAAAGTATAGTTAATCTTGATATAAGTTTTCATGCTTGTTGTAAAAAAGTGGAAAGGAGAAATCTGAAATCACCCATAGTCCTGTTAACCATTAACATTTCGCTGTGTTTTCTTTCGCTGTTTCCCCTATGCAGACATTTTGTACGTAGCGTTGTTGTTTGTTTAGCAGAGCTATAATCATTTTACATTATCATAAAACTTTTCTGTGACCACAAAGTCACCAAAAAGTCATCGTAGGGTTACATCTTTGAAAATGTCTATCCAATATTTATGTACTAGGTAATACCATTATTTGTTTAGCCATTTTCCCATTTTAGCATATATAGGTAGTGTCTAATTCTTCGCTATTATAAATAACACTGCTGTGAACCTCTTCACATGGAAGAGTCGTGTTTTTGAGATTACTGTCTTCTGTCAAATCTTCAAATTTCCAAATGTGGGATTATGGTGTAAAAGGTCGTCATACATGAAGCAACAGGGTGAACTTGAACCCAAGGTAGTCTCACTCCAAAGTCCCCATCTTTAATCCTAACAAAGGGTATTAAAAGAAAAATGGAAATGAGGCTTCACTGGGGACCAGGCAGGGGTGGGGTCTCTCCTGCCTCTTACATCCCCTTTCGCACCCCCAGCCCTCCAATATCTTTAGCAGTGGGGTCATCTGTGAGCCCAGCCCTGGCCACACTTGACAGGAGGGACAAAAGAACTAAGACTCCCCAGTGTAGTTGGGGAGCTATGGTCTGAGCAGCTTGGACCACAAGGGAGAAAGCCCTGTACCATGCATGGGTGGGACGGCTTCTCAGAGGCCAAGTGTAAGCTGCGTCTTCAAAGATGGGCAAGGTTCCTACTGACAGAGCTGAGGAAGGCACGTCCCAGGGCTGGGGCACCAGGGCCCTGGGTTGGCCGTTAGGCCCACACAGAGGAACCCAGGAGGTGAAAAAGCAGTGAGACGCCCGGCTGATAGTGGATCAAGTCAGTGCCAAGCGGGCACGTGCTTAACTCCTCCCACCCCTCCACGCCTCCAGGCCTATCTCTCACCCCCACCCTCCCCGAGCCTCTCTCAGCCACTGCCTCCCTCCACTCCCTCCCAGGTTCCCGTTTTTCTGGGGAGACCACAGCTTCCACACACACCGAGGGCCAGCGGCTTCCTGGCACAGCCAGATTCCGCAGGGGCTAAGGTCTCCGGGTTGGCGCGGCCCCAGAAGAGGGGCAGCCAGCTCCTCGGAGCAGGGCCCTCACACTCACACACTCACACCAGCGCGCTCACCTGCACACCGCACACAGCCACTCACTCCCGTCTTACAATCCTGCCTTCACACGCACCCACGCTGACTCATACAGCCCCGTGCTCTCATTCACCCTCCCTCACACACTCGGTGGCTCAGAACCCTGCGCCCTTGATGACCCACACCGAAGAGTGGCAGAAGGAGAAGGTCCTGCCCAACTGCCCAACCAGGAGAGACTGGCTGGCAAAGGGCCGAGGGCCTCACTGGGCGGGTAGCCGCTGACCAAGAGCCAGTGTGAGGGCCCCTGGCGTCCCACTGCCCCCAGCAGCTGCAGCCCCTGCCTCATGCTTAAGGACATGGGCTGAGACGAAGGATCCCGGTCCAAATCCCAGTTCCCCCATTCGTTACCGCATATGAGACTGGACTCTGAGCCTCGGTTTCCCTATCTGTAGGTGTAGCACCTCCCTTACAGGAAGGTTGGGCGATTAAAGGACATCATGCATGCTAAGTGCTATGCAAGCCACACAGATTGTAAATGCTTGGCAAACAAAAGAGCTTAAATATCGTCATTATTGGAACACCTCAGCCATCTGGCTACCAGGACAGCTTCTGGGGAGGAGGGGGCTGGGTGACCTGCAGCTGCTCTCTGCACCCCACAGACCTTGAAGCCCAAAGCCAGCAAGCCCGAGGCCCTGCCCAGCTTCCTGTCAGTCACAGACACACCCAGACAGTGGCATCGCAGCCACCAAACAGCAGACGCTCATCCCCAAACTGGGGCAGCTGCACCCTCGCACCCTGGGACTCGGCGGGCCCTTCCATCTAACAGCCCTGGTCACTAACATTCACACCCTTTTAATGACTCCCTTCTGCTCTCTTTTTCTTTGCTCTGTTTACTCTGGTGCTTTTCCTCTCTCCATCCCTGGGGTACACACCCCCTCCCCCCTTCCAGCCTTAGAGCCCCTTTCTGTTCCACCTTTGCTGCTGAAGTCACTGGCCGCCCCAGTTCTCTGTCCACATCCCAGCCCTGCCCACTTCGCCACCTCACACCCGTCCCCGCTCCCTTCCCCCTGGCCCCCTCTCCCTCCACAGCTGAGGCCTCTTCCTATGACCTCTCTCCCACGCCCTCCCGCCCCCTGCCAGTCCACCAGTTGCCCATCTATGCCACCCAGTCAGACCGAGCCAGCATCCCTGGAACCCAGCTAACATTTCAGCCAACGAGGGTCCTTTCCTGGGAGCAGTCTCCGCAGACAAGGGCTGTGGTGAGGGAAGGGAGTGATTCCAGTGGGAGGTTCAGAGTGGACCGGGTACAAGGATCCACACCTGTGTCCATCCTGCCCAGAGACCCAAATGGCTGTGGCTCCCTGGTTGGCTCTCCACTCCCTCTCTGTGGGGTGCATGTGGGGGCAGACTGGATGGAGGCCCCCCGCTTGTCCTGGAATAGTGCTCCTGCCGCGTTTGGGTTGATGCCCACAGCCAGGGAGGACATCAGCCACTCATGCAGAACCGTGAGCTGATCTGGCCCATGGCAGTTGGGTGGCACCACTCTGCCCCTTAGCAGTCTCCCCAGAACCTTCGAGTGGGGTGTGGGTGGGGATCAGTGCATTGACTGGGAAACTCCATCTGGGCCGTGATGCTCAGGGCACGCTCACTGGCGGCAGCCATTTGGAATTCACCTTGACTGGGACTTGTTATTATGAACTCGGGGCCCCCAGGTGAGAAAGACACATGCAGTTTTGTCTGCTTTACACTCTGTGCAGACATGGAAGCCAGGCTTGGGGCCAGACAGACCTGAGTTGGAGGCCTAGCAATGCCTCTTCTTAGCTGCGTGACCCCGGAAAGTCACTTAACCTCTCTGAGAGCATCAGCTTTCTCATCTGTATAATGATGACCATCAGGGACCTTACCTCCAGGATTGTGAAAATTAAATGAGTCTGTGCTTATAAAGCCAGGTGCAGGGCTGGCACTCAAATGGTCTCATGGAAAAGAAGCAGCGGCAGCTGCGATTGTCAATATTATTTCTCAGCTCCACTTGTGACTGAGTCGGCAGTTAGGAGATGAGGTGTTGTCCAAGGTGTTTCCCTAAGCAATCTGGGGGGATGGGGAGGCGCAGGCCAGAAGCCTCGGGGTCCTCAGCTAGGACTGAATGGTGGGACTTGAACACTAGCCTGACACTGGCTTTCGCCTTCTTTGCAATCTGGAGTCCACCCTCCCCCAGACCCCAGAGACAGAAAGGGAGAACGGGTCCATATCGAGTTTGTTTCAGCTCCTTCTCAAAGGAGCACCAGGCAAAGCTCTGCAGGGCTGCCCCTCTTGCTTTTGTCAGTCGCTGCTCTGCAAGGCAGGTCTTGTTGGATAAAGGGTAATGGTCAGTGCGGCTGGTTTCCAGGGCACAAGGGGAGATGACACCCAGCTTCAGCTGAGGAGGAGTCTGTTCCTTCCAACCCCAAGAGAAGCCTACCTGCCTTCCTTCCTACCTTCCCTCCCTCCCTCCACTTCTCTAAGAAGTTCCAGGTGGTAAATGGGTGGGTGGATAAAAATCATGGTCCAGGTCTAAGCAGGAACCAATGAAACAGGTTCTCCTGAGGAAAGGCACATCTGTTACCAAAAAAAAAAGGGAAGCAGAGGCTGGCCAGACAGAAATAACAAAGGAACTCCACTCTTGAATGCAAAGCTGCCTAGAATAGATGTGAGAAAGGAATCTTCCAGGGTTTCCTCCCACCCCAAACTCCCGAGGGGACACTGACCAGGCTGAGGCTGAACCCACCACAGAGACCGCCCAGCCA